TTGCAAGTATTTTGCAGCTAGAAGAAAGGTGTATTTAATAGGCAAAGTTTACAACTCACTGGAAAAAAAAAGCAAAAGCAATAGATTCTCTGGATATTCGACGATTGGCTTCAAGAGTTACCTGGTTTTTTTCTGGGTGTCAGTGCGAGTGGATAGCTTGTGGTGAATGTGAATATGGCTGTATGAGGTATAGTGGGTGTGAGTTTGGTTATGGCTGAGTGTGGATGTGGATTTGACTATGCTTGTGAAGTATAGGTTGGCTGTGAATAGGGTGTGGGTGTATACGAAGAAAAGTCTCATACCCACCCACCCACACCCACACACCCACGCCCACACCCGACCCACACCCACACCCACACCCACACCCACAACCACACCCACACCCACACTCACACCCTTTCTTACGCGCTTGATTTAATGTAAAATTACACGCAATTCTTTTCAATGATTCTGTTGCTAAACAGTTGCATACTTTCTCAATGTATCAAAATTTCTTGTTCTCAAGCACGATTTTCGCAGTACTCGTACGCGTACTCGAGGGGTCGGTCTCGTACTCGTACTCGAAAAAGTCCGTACTTGCCCAGCTCTGTCCACACCCACACCCACACCCACCCACACCCACACACCCACACCCACACACCCACACCCTCACATCCACACCCACACCCATACCCTCACACCCACACCCACGCCCACACCCACACTCACACCCACACCCACACCCACACACGCCCACACCCACACCCACACACCCACACCCACACCCCAATCTGTCTCAAGCCTGTTTACTTTGTAATGACATTGTCTGCTTATTTTTGTTCCACGCATCTTCGAGAGAAAGACAAATGCTCTCTCTCAAGATCTAGTTTCTATCCAAAGTTCTCATAAGATTCTAAAAAAATTGTCAGAAAGTATTGAAAACTCTAGGAGAAGGTTGGATGTTTTCGAGGAAACTGATGTTTATGAGGGCAAATAGAGTATCTATATAAAAACTACTGTAACATTTGTAGAATCTATGCATAAATAAGCTGAGAATCTCTACTCGTCTCCAGGATATTCTAAACTTACTGTGATCTATATGATGCACATTGTCTCGAATAGCGCTCCTTGCTCGAAAATTTTCGAACCGAAAACCTATCTAGTCCGAGTTCGAGACTCAAGAGTGATTAATCAATTGGAAGACTTTCATCGTTAGATTTATTCATGATTTATGATAAGAAAATCTATAGATTCAATAAGAAGAATAATACGAACACGGTAAATATACATATAATACTACAGGAGAAAATTCTTAAATAAGGTAACTTATATTCAATAATAACGATCAATAATAAAATAATAAAGTCTTAACTCGTGCTTTTTTGTGTTTATTTAGTTCAATATTGGTGATCTATTTTCTTATTATTTTACTGATATACAATCTTATGAAAGACCAATCACATCTTCTATAAATTCTACTCAATTAAAATCTTCTACTAATGATCAAAATTCGAATTCTTATTCAATATTAAACTCTTCGTTCACTTCTATCATTTACATTATTTTATTCATCACATCCGTAACATTTTTTTTCTGCTCATGTTCATTCATCATATTGGATTAATATACTTTATACAACAAAAACAAATATTGATCGTCATACATGCCGTTTACAACAATCACAAATACATGAAAAACTAATACCTTAAATAGATATATTTGATTTGCAAACTTTATGTAAGAAAAAATTTATTTGTTAGTTTATATCGTTATTCCAATGAAGAAAATGATCTTGATCAATAAATTGAATTTAATCAATTTAAGTCTAAAATAAATTTTTCCAATAATGATATACTTGTTGATCCATATTGATTAATTTATTATTTTAAATCACCAATACATAATCAAGGGCTTATAGAATTATCTTCATATAATTTATTAACATATAAATAAAAATATTCATCATTATCAAATTAAACAACAATAGAACAATATTTATTTCCTATTGAAATCATATCAATAACATAACGTTCAACAAAACATAAACTACGTTTATTACATTTATATTGTTATTCAACAATAAATTGTTTAACAACAACTATATTAACAACAAATAATGAAAACAAAAAACAATTTTATTTTCATTTAATTTATTAATATCAATTATTTATATAATAATAAATCAAATTAAAAAATTAATATTAATGATTATTATAAATGATAATTATATGAAATGTTTATTTCAAATCAATATGAAATATTTATTTAGATTTAAATCATCACTAGTCTTTAAATGGTTTTTTTTTTTATTATTAGACAATGTACTAATCAATATCAATATCAAAATAGATACAAAAATTTTACAATAATTATTATAATTAGCAGATATTATTCAAAAACACTAATACTATACAAAGACACTTATTAATAAATAACTTTATTTATTTCCATACTAGCATTAACGAACAATGAAAAATTCAATGAGAGAACTTTTCTAACTAATATCAAAGTCTTGGAAAGATTTCTCACTAGTCTAAAAAGATTTTCCTTTCAACTCTATTAGGATTTTTCTAAATTTTACAAAATAATATTTTTTCTCAACAACGAACTTTTATGTGAAAATTGTTTTAATATAGAACTTTGTTGCGGACGACAAAGTTTCAACGAATAAAACTAAAACAACAATTTATGTTAATATATTTCACATATTAAACGAGGTTCTTTTGTTTTATTACTTTTTTAAATGAGAAATTTAGATAAAACATGTTTATGTTATTTTGAAAAGAGAATTTTTTTAGACTAAATACGAAATTTCTACAATGAAATCTCATTGAGAAAAACACAAAATACAATTTCTACGATTGTTTATCAGCCATCACTTGAGATAGCACTGCAAATATTTTTATTAGTAAAATATATTCTCAAACTATTTTATCGATTTATTTCAATATCGGTAGAAAACACACTATGCAATTGTTTATAGATAGCCGATAGTCATTGAAGCTACCAATGCTACCAGGAACAAACATACAACATGTTATAGCCGGCAAACCCATGGCTCTTCGGTAGACTAGAAACGGCTCAAATATTTGTTTATCCTTCCGTCAGTTTGACAGATTTATGCAGTGCATAGAAACTCCTACACTAACGTTTTCCTTTTTCACTGCTCTTGGCAACAATTAGTTATGTTTTTATACCGAAGCAGAGTTAGGAACGCATCCAATTCTCTACGACTAAATGTTAGCTCCCATGTTGGTAATCACTTGAAATAGTACTCCTTTATAACAAGTTAAGTAGAACGGTACTCAAAACTCGAGTTAGATTAACTAAAACCTACCGAAACGTTTTCTTTTTTTGTCAACACTAATGCTTCATCAGTATTCTGCATTTTAGTAAACTACATCGAAAACTCTTCTTTCGAGAATCAAAATTAGATAAAAACAAATGTTCCCATCTTTATTTAAGTTAACGTCTTTTGATACAACGTTGAGAGTGTGAGTGTGAGTGTGGGTGTGGATGTCGGTACGGCTGTTGGTATGTGAATCTGTACGCTCACGCACACCCACACACCCCCACCCCCACCTCATCCATACCCAGCACCCACACCCACACCCCCACCCCACAGAAACCTATCATGATGAATGATTAATAATGTATGTGGTTGTTATACTGTTATGATGTTTATCCACTCACTTGTTATGGCAGACATATATAAATTATTAATATCCAATGATTTGCGAGATTTCATGTGAGGTACTTACAAAAATATACAGCAAGAAGCACTTGATACACTCAATTTTTTTATAAGCTTCTATTTTTCCTTTTTATCAGTAATAATAGTGTAGGCAGACGCATTGAAGCCTTTAAATTGCTTGTGCATAGTGGAATAATATCACATTCTCAAAAAAAAAGTACGAATATTTTACATTTACATTGTGACAATATGGCAATAAATACTCGATTATTATCCATCACTGCCGGATCTCTTTTATGCTTAAGTTTTATACTTTTCATTGTTAGCAATGCAGTTCCAATTTGGTATGTAAAAATTTTCATCACTTGATTTTAATACAAATTAATATAAAAATTATTTCATAATTAAATATATCTAAAAAAAATAAATTTTGTGTTTTATATCTCTTAGGAGTAAATTTACATATGAATCTGCAGAAATCACATATGGTCTTTGGCGTGCCTGTAGTAGTGCTTCGAATATAAAGACATGCGTTGCTATATCGTGCTCGTTGGAAAGCGGCGAAACTAGTTCGTGCAGTAAAATTTTAGCTGCTAGAGCTTTTGTTACTCTAGCTTGTATTCTGTCTGGTATTTCTGCAATATGCCTTGCCGTATATGCAATACAAGGTGACAAAACACCCCGAATATTACTCTTAGCAACCAAAGGTCTTGTTTTTGTTTGTCTTATTATGGGAATTATTGGTGTTGCAGTTGGTATCAATGCTATCGTTAACGGAGGGAGTTTAATTAAATTAGATTTCGGTGCTGCTGCGATTATAGGAATCGTTGCAATTATTATTAACTTCATTGGTGCTATTGTAACGGCACTAATCAGATCATAGGTTTGATTAATGAAAAAGAAAACAGTTTACTTTAATTTATGATTGAAAAACTTTATTTTGCTTCTGTTCTTTTATCATCTTTGTGTTTATTTTCCAATTTGCCAAAGTAATAAAAACACTTGATCACATAAAATTTTATGTTATTTTTTTGATAAACAATGACGTAGAGATAAAACATAGAAATCATATAATGATTTTGTTGTATACGAATAGAATATCATTTTGTTTCATATTGAAGTGCTTCTGTACGATACAACCCTCATCAACCTCACTCTGTGCTGTTCGTGTATGATAGGATGTGTGTATATCCTGTAGTAGAATCGAAATCGGTATCCGAATAGAAGACATATGAATGTTTATTATCAATTATGATGAGAGAAAATTAATGTTAATAAACGAACAAAATAATCCCTGAACAATAACTTTATGCCGACTTTGTTAAATATTCATTCTGATGACAACTCAATATCTCAACTTTGCTTTCTACTAAAATCACATTCGTGTATCATCAAAATCATTTTCATAATTCTACTAGTCAATTTCGTATATCGAATATCATTAAAAAAACACTTGAAAACAATTCTGTCCTCATCAGTATTTTTAAGTGTGAGCGTGAAACAAAAGCGAAAAATATCAATTGACATATAAGAGACACTGCATACGAGTACTGTCTCCAACGATTTTCAGCAAGTCAAAAGAAATCCTTTGCCTATGCTGATATCTATGTCTATTAGAGAGTAGTAACTGCTAGTAGAAAATTAATCAATTACGTTAATTAAAGTAATGTTGCTCATATCATAAGGGGTGTTCCGGAAATTCTGAAACGATTTTAAAATTTATCGTTCTCGCATTCTACAAAAGCAAATTTGTTCAAACTTTGGTAGATTGTTGTACATATATAGTATTACATAACTATAAAGTTTGAGGTCTATAGGTTCTACTATGGATGAGAAACTTTAACAATACTGACATGTACTATTTTTTAAATTTTCCTGGTCATCTTCGAGGTGTGCAACATTTTTCTATTACGTCTATATCTTGGCTTAGGTAAACGATAAAATCTTGAATTTTTCTTTAAAAGATGCGCCGTGAAAAGCTCTACAAATAGTGCAATAACAAATCCCTATTGACTTTGTGTTAATGGTTTCTGCCATACTCAAAATGAGAAATGTGTATGGTAGTACTACTTCTCACCATATTATGCGTAATAAAAAAAAGGTTTGAAAGACCTTTTTGCTTTCCAATAGGAATTTGTTTATATAGCTTTTGTAGAGCGTTCGACGGTGCATCTTTTGAAAAAGAAATCAAGATTCTATCATTTTCTCAAGCTGAGATACATGCAAAACAAAATGTTCTTCCAAACATTTTTTATTACGCACAATATGGTAAGAAGTAGTACCATCATGTAGGTTTTTCATTTTGTGTATGGCAGAAACCATTAACACAAGTCAATAGGGATTTGTTATTACAATTTTTGTAGAGCTTTTCACGGCGCAGCTTTTAAAAAAAATTCAAGATTTTATCATGTACCTAAGCCGAAATATAGATATTTTGGTAGACTCGGGATACAGGAAAATTTTAAAAATAGTACATCATAGTGTTGTTACAGGTTCTCCTCTACAGT